ATGATCCATGGTGGAGTATCAAGGCTGAAAGTACGGGCGAAGGGACACCATAATGTGAGAAAAAAAGGAAAACAACGCACGGTACACCCCGGTAGTGATCCCCTACGTCAGTGTAGGTGGCTTTCCAAGTCCTAAGTGAGGGAATGGGGTCTCAGAGTGTGGAAATACTACGCCAGGGCATTTGGGCTTCGTTAACAGGCGGCTGGTTCCACGATCCCCACCAAGAGGTCTTCTGCAACACCTTCCACCTGTATTTATGGCTGTACCTCGTCTGCGCGCCCTTCTCCATCTACCTGGTGAGTCTCGGGGCACAGGGGAGGGTCCTGGGGGCGTCTGCTGGGGAGCTGCGCGAGAGGAAGGGCGAGAGGGAAAGGAGGGAGGGAAGAGAGGACGTGAGAGAGAAAAGAGGGATAGAGAGAGAGAGAGAGAAAGAATAGTTGTCTTTCCTCGTATCGTTTTGTTTTGGTGTGGTTTTGTTTACATTCTTTTTTTTTGTTTGGAAAAGGGGAAGGTTTATCCACTTCAATTCTGGTTTTTGTTTTCTTTTTTGTTGTTGTTCTAGGTCTGATTTCAATGTATGTTGACTTGTGTTTGTTTTGTGTTTTTGTGAGGAAGTGAAGGGGGGAAATTTGGGAAGGAAAATTCACAAGATTAGTAGAAAGGGGTCCTCTTGTTAATTAATTTTGAGGTCACAATGCTACAGTGAGATTAGTTATGCTGGCCTCTTTTTGTGCCTAAAAGGGATTTGTGGAATGATGTGCTTGTATAAATGTTAAAAGGAAAGGGCTGCAGTAGTGAGAAATCTTTTGTGAGTGCCTTGCGAAGCATTACAAGCCTTAGGGTAGTGTAAGGGCTCTCTTTGCCGACTGTCAAAACATTGGTTAGGTCATTATTATGAGTTTGAGTGAATATCTTTTTGATATGTTTTAAACCATCATGGGCCACTTTATTTCCCAAGGGAATCGAAGTGTGTAACGCTAGAGGTCTCTTATGTGGTTTGTCGCTAGCATGAGACTTGCATTGTGGCACATCTTGGTACGTTTTTTCTCCGGTGCTTGGCATGAAGGGTAAAACAGACAAAATTCCTAGGGCAAATCTCTCAGCCAGTGACCAGGGCGTTTTATCATCTAGTCCTATATCGTGCCAGGTCTTCCTCCTTGAATAAGGATAATAGTATTGAGGAACAAGTGATTTTTCAGTTTTGTCAAATTATTATCAATATTCTCTTGATGAAATTGTGTTGTGTCTTGCGTATATACGTAGATATAGGCATATTTGTTGATGTTGACAAAGTTGGTATAACTGTAGGGAAACCCTCAGTTGCAGTGTAATTCAGGTTCAAATATTGCATCACCAGAAAAGATGATGTAGTCCACAAGCTTCGTATTTTTGTGTCTTCCCAAATTTTTTACAATACTGTACTCTCAAATGGATAGTTACAGATGACACTGTATACCCCTAATAAATTTGTAATGAGGCAGTAATACAATTTTTTTTCTTTTTTTATACCTGTTGTAACCTATTCTCATTTATAATTTTTGCATATTTCTTCATATGGTATTTATTGAATTTGTAATTTTGACGCATGCTGAACGTCACCTGTCAAAAGCGAATCCACCAGATTTTATTGCCGCATATGTCATTTTGACCCTCATCACAAACAATCAAGCATGATCTCACATTCATGATGTGGCTATGGACTTGCTGACTATATTAAAAAAAAAAAAAAAAAAAAAATTGTGGAACTACCAACCATAGGCATTATGCAAGTGGTCATGGGTTTTTCCAAAACCTAAATGAAGGATGAATCAAGATGATGTAGATTGTGATCTGTATACATCTACATACATATAAATAGTTGTATATTCATATACATTGTGTATGTTTTGATTTAGGCAAAGTGAAAGGAAATTCATGTATTGCAAAAGCAGAGAAGGTATGAAATGAGGTGGAATATTTGATTATTAAAATTCTTCATTATGTATTATCTGGTTTGAATATAGAATGAGTGGTTCCTTATTTGACAGTAACTTGCAAGTGTGGACTAAAAGTTCTTATCCTTCAAACATGTATGAAGCAGAGATTTGAGGATTGTTGTCAGAGTTCCCAAGGTGCAGAGAGGCCAGAGGTAGACATACGGGAATTTTGTCAACATTTATTGTTGATATTATTTTTTTCCCCATTGATTTGCTGAATATTTTTCTAACAGTTGATATCTGATGACCAGATGATATTAGATATGGGTTGTGTTTTTAGTAATGCATTGATTAATTTGCCTTGAAAGTTGTAAGTCATTCACATTAAATTTTTGATCGAGTATTATGTTATCCTTATCATTTTTACAGATGGTTATATGTATGATTTATGCTTGATATCTTTGCTTATTTACACGTGCATAGGCCTATAGATAATTTTTAAAAATTTGCAGTTGTGTATATGAATGTAGCTATTTAATTTATCTCATGTAGGTAAGTCTATATATGCATATGTATTTTTTGTTATTATTATTATTTTTTTTTAGAGAAACTTCACAGTAACATTAGATAGAATTTTCCTTTTAATGTCTAATTGTATTAATATATTTATTCATATTTACATATCCATATCTGAACCCATTAATGTGGGTTTAATGATAAAACAAATCCTGTCGACTGTGTCTTCTTGTTTATGAATTGTTTGACTTGTAGATGGCTCTGCAAATGTTCAACTGCTAAATAGTCAATTACTAATTCTGCATGTGTCACCCGTTAAGCCTTTTTCTTTTTTTGAAAAATTCGTTTTTATTCTTTGCTGCCATTAATACTGTAAATGACATTTTGAAAATTATAATGTCAACAGTGATGATAACAAAATTGATATGAATAGCATTAGAAAAAAAGACAGAAAACTACTCCTTGGCTCCTTGGTGGTTGAGTTCTTGTTAAACCAGCTATGTGCAAATAAAATTCACAAAAGATAACAAGGTATCTATATTTTTTGTGTGATATATAATGATAGATAAAAAGATAGATGCAAATAAACAAAAAGATATATATTCAGATGTATGTATATATATCTAAATGTATAAACAATGAAAAGGTATTGAAATACGAGGAGGGGACTGACATATGTCGAGATGGAATATGGCACAGGAAAAAAATAGGTTTGGCTGTATGAAATGTCATACAATACCAGAATTGCTACTACAAACTCACTACATTCCATTCACAAGGAGAAAGAGGCCGGGAACATACTTGGATGGTAGGGCTTCCAAGGGGAGGCGGAGTGTGGTTAGAGGAAGATTTGTGCCCTAGGTGACACTATGTGAGCCGTTCATAATTTAAAGGAATTGTGGTAAAATGCCCACCAATTTTTGACAGCCCATGCATGATCATCGTGAACTGGACTGATAGCATAGAAGGTGGCTGGGTATGATTGTCGCAAATAGGACTTAAGGTTTAAATATCTACAAACTACAAAGCTCTAGAGATGTTAGGTGTGAATAGTATAAAAAGTACATTTCATTGTGTTCTTTGTGATATATATATAGATATGAAAATATAACAAGGATGAACAATTGATTGACTGTTGAATAACAAATGTTATAGATGCTTATTTGTCATTATTGTTTATTCTTTGTTTGGATAAGAGCATATAACTCACAATTCTTGACTGTCCTTATGCAGGCACTAAAAAATACACAGTTTAGACCGTCTTCTGGTTTTAGCTAGCCATTTCTTGGGGCTATATCTTTTTGGCTTCTTTTTCTCTGTTGTTGTGTGTGTAGCAGAACTGCTTGTAGATTGTAGAAAGTGGTGGAAAATTTATCCCCGTGTAGTTAATTCCTGTAGAATGGGTTGATAGATTCTTGGGCCTGAGAAGAGCAGTGGTCATCGGTTCTTTTCTTGGTGCCTTTTGGATATTCTCAAAAGCAGCAACATCATTGGTACTGGTATATAAACGTATTTTAGTAATGTTGATACTGAAAATTGCCGAAGAGGATTTAGTGTAATAAACATAAACCTATTAGAACTACAGTGCCTTCAGGCAGATTTTAGTGTTGATAATTTTGAAAACTTGTATTTTACATGCCATTTAAAGGAGCTGTTTATCTGTACAGTACTGGTATAATTGATTAGGGACTTGTCTCCAAAATACCAGAATGCTGATGTACCAATAGTGGATCTGTATGGACCTAAATGAATTTACATTTACACATGTATGTTCTCTTATTGTGACTAAAAAATTAGATACAACTGTGATGTGACAGTGTGCTTCTTGGAACAGACCACATTACTAGCGCCCTGCCTCTAGAATAGTAATAATGATTTCAAAGTTTGGAATGTGAACCAGTCAAATTTTTGTCTTTGTTTTCATAAAAATAGCCTTGCTGTGATCACTGGTGGTGGTGGTAAAGAATTATAGATCCCATATAATAGGTTTGTGTCTAACACAATTATACATGCAGTTCAATCTGCTATCAGTATAAACTTAGTTCTGTCCTTATTGAAGATCAACTATCATTTGAACAGGCAGTTCAAGTATAGGTACAGGTCCAGACTTCTACCTTGACCTTTATACCTGTACATAAAATTTGTTTAGGTACACAGTTCTGCAATACAATGTATATTTCATTATCAACTACCATGTATATATTGATAGAAATTAGATGTTGACGTTTAGAGAAAATACACAAAACCTATAATTACCATATACATCATACATTGATATGTACAAATGTAAAAGAAATGATAAAAAGAAACAAAATGACTACATCTTTTATTTGTTTGCAACGGGAAGAAAGGAAGGGAGAGGTGATGGTGAAAGAATGAGGGCTTGAAGGCGAAAAGGAAAGTGTGCCAAAACCTGTGGTAACCATCACATTACTCTTAAAAATATTTCCCCTTTTGTTTGGTTCAAGCTATAGAACGTATACCTTGCACCTTTGCCAAGAATGATTGAAATAGACTTTGCATGATAGGCGATGCAGGGACGGGGGGATGGGGGGATGGGGGTGTCTCAGTGGGCATTATTTTTGTTGTTGCTGTTGTGTTGTTGCTGTTGTTTTTGTTATTATTATTTTTATTATCATTATTATTTTTGTTATTATTAATATTATTGTTGTTATTAATATCATCATTATTGTTATTATTATTATTATTAATTTTTATTTAATTTTAATTTATTTATTTGTGTTGTTGTTATTGTTATGACTTTTCTTGTTATTGTTAGTATTTTCATTGTTTTCATCATCATCATCAGTTTTGTTATCGTTATTGTTATAATTTTTAGTATTATTACTAATATTTTTGTTATT